GATCCGATCCGACACGATTTGACAGCTGATCGATTTTTAAAATCTGTTTATGATATCAATTTTTTTAAAATAACATTAATTTTATCTTTAATTTTATACATGTTAATAACCTAAGAAATATTGGTTTTAAAAAAGAAAAATTGATTATCATAAACCGATTTAAAAATCGATCAGCAGTTAAATCGTGTCGGATCGGATCCCACTATGAATGCGGCCTTAATTCAACATCTGCAACATGGACCATGCTTGATTTTAAAAATTGGGCTGGACTATCATTTTCCATTTGCAGAATTCACCTAAAATGATTTTGATTTCATTTGCAGAATTCAGCTAAAATTATTTTAAGTGATATTGATATTGAAAATATGGCTAAGTTTATTTTATATTCCTCTTCATTGTTACTCCTTAAGATCAATAAAAATACTTTTAGATTATTAATATTAAATATTACCTTAGTAGTTTTTCGTAAGTATAAAAATTATAATTATTAAAAATGGAAGAAGAATTAAACACATCTTTTAAATATAATGGTATATTAATTTTGAGATTTAATAAACGAGAGTGTTATATTTAGTATTTTTACTAAATATCGCAGGTGTGATATTTAGTTTTTTCACTAAATATTACGGGCATTAGTAGCAGTCACATCCAAAATTTTTTAATGTTCGGGGTCGTATAACCACTAAAAAATCGATGAATCTTTTTATGGCTATAAAAAATTATATTGAAAGGATGATACAAGAAGCAGGTCCTGGTATGAAATTGTTGCTAATGGATGCAGAAACAGTATTATTTTTTTATCACACCTATATTAATTCAATAATTAGACATCTATAGTAAGTATGATATTTGCCCAATCTGAAATTTTTCAAAGTGAAGTTTATTTGTTTGAAGATATAAACTCATCTATTCGTGAGACAATAAAATACGTTAAATGCATAACTTATCTTAGACCAACTAATAAAAATATACAACTTCTTGGAGAAGAATTAAAATATCCTAAATATGGAGCTTATTATATATGTATTATTTTTAACATTACATAATATATTTATTTAATAGATTTTACCAATGTAATTATGAGAAGTGATTTAAAAACCATTGCTGAATCTGATGAATATGAGACTGTGAAGGAAATAAAAGTTTTTAAAAATTTATTTAAAAATATAATATTTTTAAGGAGTTTTATGGAGATTTTATGGCTATCAATTCATTTGCATTTACTCTTAACATAAAACAAATATACCAAGTATACCTTTTTTGTTTATTTTGTTATGACACATTTATGTTTATTAACATTTTTATAAAATTGATTAACTTGACAAATTTATTGTAATTGATAAAATTACGGAATACGGAATAAAGCACATACGCCCTCTCAACGTTGTAGGTACAACAGAGCTACGCTAGGTTTTCCTCATTTCCATCTAATTGGAAGATTTAAGTTAGGTATAAAGTAAAATATAAGGAGCCCTTCACACGTTTGTGGCAAGCCGCACGTACTTGTACGCATAATAGTTCATAAACTATTATTTAAACGTCTGTGGGCTGGAACAGATAGGGAGGACCAAGAGAACAGCCCACACCCAAAACCTACGGCCCTATTTATTTTTAAAAAAAAGGGACGGGGAAGGTACTCTAGAAATATAATTTAAAACCTAAAATAAGAAATAAATATATGATTAAATTAAATTCAAAGTACAAATACAATCACTTATCAGTTTATATCCATCCTTGAAGATAATATCCATATTCATCACTCGTACCGGAAAAACTGAACCCCATATTTTTTTTTCCATTCAATTGATAAAATTAAAAATAAATAAATAATATGCCTCCATTTATATATAATCTATTAAATAGCAAGAGTTGTGTAACTAAATAAATTATTAATATCCCATGTCAAATTCAAAAATGACACATTTTTGACTAACCCCTTTTAAAATTATTAAAAATTTTTGGAATTATATAGATAGGTAAAAAAAATAAGAAATCATACCTGGTTCTCGAGTTAAGGGCCTCAAATGCAAGAAATAGTAAATGCTTATATCTCAAAAACTATTCATAGTAAAAATAAATCTTATATATCATATTTTAGGCTAAAAAATTTTTGAAGGGTCTATCACAAGAAAAAAAATTAGGTGCCAATTTGAGTGCTTAATTTCTAGTTTATCTATATTGCTTTATTTGTGTTTTTAAGAAATAAGGGGAGTTGGTTTTTTGAATTTTATCTAGAGACCTTTATAAATATATTTACCATGTAAAAATATTGGCAACAATATTGGCCATTCTGATATATGCATTTTACAAAATATGGGAATATTTACTTGCATAAAATAGATGGTGCTTACAGATTAGGGTTAAAATTTAATAACTGGATATTTTTATACTAACTTTCTGGCCATTCCATGTCAAATTGATCAAAAAGGCATATTTTCAACCTAAAATTGTTAAAAATTGCTGGAATTATTTATATCAGTAAAAAAAATAAGAAAGCCATTTATTTTAATTCACTAGCACCACCTGGTTCCTCTGAGGCAGCCTTAAAGGTGGAAGTAAATTTTTTAGATTGCTTATAACTAATAAACTTATCAAGGCATGAATTCAATTAAAATGAATGAAAATATATCACTCTTGCAGATTTTGCTGAAAATGATGCCTTTGTAATTCAAGATGATGTACAAGGATTTTACTGAAATAAAGGGTAAATTACCATTTATCCTTTTGTATTTTATTACAAGATACTTAAATTTAAATGATTTAAGTTACATATTAATATATGAATTAGAGATCTGCAAAAGTAGGCACAGCCCGTACCTGGCCCGAACAGACTTTGGGCTGGGTTCTGTAGTAATACCAACTACTAATTTATAAACAATACGACTACTAATTTATATTTCAATTTATTTTTAACATCAAATTTATATTAATTTATTTTTGAATATTCTATTCTATTTTTTATATAATATCTATAAATAATATTTTTTAATTTATTACATTTCCTTCAAACATTTTAAAATTAGATTTCTTCAATAAACCTCTTTGTAGGTTTACGGTTTCTTGATGAACAACGTAATGTGGTATTTGTATTTGTGTTTGTATTTGCTTCATTCACTGGCACAACCATTTCTGTAACTTCCAAAGAACTTTCATGATTTGGGATAACTAAACGATTTCTTAACTGATCTGCATGCTTCCGTAATGTTTTCCCGGAAGATTCAACAATATAAGAAAAAAGTCCTATTCTTTCTTTAATTACTCCCTCTCTCCAACCATTGGTATTTTCATTATTTAACCATATAGGTTGTGAGATTTCAAATTCTCTTTCCTTTGAATGTAAATCATGGTGAAGGCTTTGTTTATCATTGGCCCTTACTATTTCGTGTTCGGCATTTGGTCGGATCCAATCCAGACTTGTTTTCAATTGCCTCCCAAACATAATTTTAGCAGGACATCTCCCTGTGGAACTATGCTCTCCCAATCGGTAGGTTGTTAAAACCTGTGTCATAGCTTCTTTGGGATCGCTAATTGAATCTCTCGTCGCATGACCTTTTAAAGTTCGTACTGTACGTTCAGCTAATCCATTAGTGTTTGGATGATAGGGTGCCGAACGTATATGACGTATATTATTTAAATCACAATACCTACGGAGTTCCCCTGATAAGAAGTTGTCCTTTGTCTGACACACTGTACTTGGGTATTCCAAATCTAGCAAACCAGCAAACCATTTATTTAGTCGTTTTATCATAGCATCAGCAGAGGTATTCTGCATTAGATCAACTTCTAACCATGGTCTATTTTTCTGGCATCCAGAACATATTTTGATAAAATTTTCTATATCAACATCACATCTGGGCCACCAACAATACAATCTAAAAATAGATTTCATTACATTTTCCCCAGGATGTCCCCAGTGAATCATTCCTAACACTGCATTTCTTAATTTATTAGGAATAACCAATCTCCCAATCCATTCTATAATATTACGATTGTCAGAAAGCTCTTCCCGTCGATTATAAAAATTAACTATTTCTTTATCTTTATGACGATCAAAGTTTCGCCAACTTTGCTGAATATGTATTGCTACTTTTTTTAATATTAAATCTTGCTTCGACTCTTTTCGCAGAATATTTTCTGACAATTGCATATCATCCAAATTAATACTTCGAATATCCAAAGCATGTTTAGAATCTTGATTCTCTTCCGTGTCTAATATCGGAAGCCTTGATAATGCGTCGGCGATTACATTTTTATTACCAGGTCTATATTCTATTGTAAAATCATAAGAAGCCATCTTCCAGGCCCAACGTGTCAAACGATTATTAGAAATTTTAGGTAAATCGCGTTTCTCCCCAAATAATCGCTCTAATGGTTTATGATCAGTTCGAAGTAAAAATTTTCTACCATAAATAAATGAATGAAACTTTTCAATACCAAATAAAAGTGCTCGAGCTTCTTTATCAATCGGAGCGTAGTGTTTCTCTGATTCTAATAAAGTACGTGACGCGAACGAAATAGGTTTTGTCCTTCCGTCTACTAATTGATGTAACAACACAGCCCCTAATCCTGAATCAGATGCGTCGCATTCCAAAATTATAGGCAACTGCGCGTTATAAGGAATTAACGTTTCCTCGGATGACAATAATTTCTTAACCTCATCGAAGGAATTTTGTTCATCTTTCGACCACTGCCAAGGTACTTTCACGCTCGTTAATCTATGTAATAGAGCCGCTTTAGAATGTAGATTGCGAATAAAACGTTCATGATAATTAACTAGTCCTAGAAAAGATCTAAGTTGTTGTATATTTTTAGGTTTTGGTGCATTTCGGATAGCCTTCACCTTTTCCGGGTTAGGATGTATACCGAATTTATCAATTATCACCCCTAAAAATGAAACCGATTTTTGTAAAAATATCACTATTGTTAATTTCGCCTTAAGACCTGCTGCATGTAATCTGTCTAACACTATTCGGAAATTATTTAAGTGCTCCTCATCATTTCGACCAGAAATAATTACGTCATCTAAATAGACACCAGTCATTTGGCAATCTTTTAGTAACTCATCCATATATCTTTGAAATATAGTTGGTGCACTTGCCAATCCAAAGGGCAATCGTCGGTAACGGAAATAGCCCTTATGAGTCACTATCGTTAGTAGTTCCTGGGATTCCGATTCTACTTCCATCTGTAAATACGCATCTTTCAGATCTATCACGGTAAATTTATCACCACCTTGGATTTTCTCTAACAAATCGTCTAAGGTAGGAATAACATGATGGTCATATAATAAACACGGATTGAGTGTAACTTTGAAATCAGCACAAATTCGAATATCTTACTTTTGCGTACATTTACGGTTGGCGTTGACCACTGTACCCTGGTTATAGTCGAATCAATCTTTTCGATAATTCCTGCAGCTACTAATCGGTCTAATTCCATTTCAATTGCTTTGCGAAGTGGAAATGGTACCCTACTGAGCTGGAAACGATCTTGGTACAGCGGTATCCTTTAAATGTATTCGCACTGCAAAATCACGTATATGTCCCATCTTATCATCAAAAATTTCTTGATGTTTATTAATCAAATCTTGAATTCTAGAATCTAGTGTTATGCAACATTTTTCTTTTTCAATATTGTTGACCAAATTGCGTACTTGTTTAATCATAACCTGACGAGGCATTTCTAAATTGAATGCTATAATCCATGGTAATCCGAAAAGAGGCACCCCAGTTGTATTCATTATTACCACTGGTAGAGTCCTTGTCTGTGATCCAATCCTAACATTGACTTGGGTCTCGCCCTTAACGTCTAACGGATGATCACCATATGCAGTCAATGGACTGGTTTGCCTAATTTTTGGTCGCCCAATACTTGTCCATATATCAATTCCTATCAATGACGCTTGTGCACCAGTGTCAAAATCAAATTCAACATCTAACCCATTTATCTCTGCAGTTCGTTTTGCTCGATTCTCTCGATTTTGTTGAATCTTCCAAATATTATGAATAGAATCACTTGATGACACTCTTATATAATTTAAATTCTTTGATTTACAGCAAACTGCAAAATGACCAATTTTTTTACATTTATTACATGCCGCATTTGTAGCTGGACATCTCACTTCTCGGTTATGAATAAAACCACATTTATAACATTTAAGTTTATTATAATCATTATTATATTTGTATTTATTATCAAATGTAGTCGTCGTTTTAATTAGATGTTTATAATTATTATCATTATCATTTC